AAGTTTGAAATTTAAAAGCTGAGGTAGGGCAGAACCTGTGGCTCAGTGGGTAGGGCGCTGGCCCCATATACTACTGGTGGCAGGTTCAAACCTGGCCCCGACCAAACTGTAACAAAAAAATAGAGGGTGTTGTGGCGGGTGTAGTCCCAGCTACTCAGGACACTGAGGCAAGAGAATCATCTAAGCCCAGGAGTTGGAGGTTGCTGTGAGCTGTGTGACGCCATGGCACTCTACCAAAGGCGATAAGATGAGACTCTGTCTCTCACCACTCCCCAAAAAAAAGCTGAATTAGAAGTTGCTACTTGGTTCATCTTCAAACTACCCCGAATGCATAGGCTACTAGCTTTACATGGGCCCAGAACAAACTAAAAGAGTTCCTTCTGGGTTATTTAAAAGCAAAACATAGGGCCCCTGATTCATACTGTAACAAACTCAGCTGGTCTGTCCATAGTACTTGACTACATAACAACAGCACAATAGCTATATAAGAAAACAGGCTAAATTCCAAACTTTTACTGGATACAACATGGAAGTTTATTAAACATTTCCACCATGAGTTTGTTTTCTTGTAATTTGCTCCTGTCTCCTGAAAGTGGAACACAGGAAATAAATTCTGGTGTATTTGGATAGGAAAGTCTATATTCTGTAATTACAACTTCATAGACTGAATTATAGAAGGAATTCTTTACCATTCCTGTAGCCTACTTTGGTTAAACACCCAAATCCATGTTGATAAATAACTTAATCGTTGGCATCAGTTTAACGAGATAAGCATTTTCTATTAATACATTGTTAAACATATTATTCTATTACTTAAAATTTTTCTTCATTCATTCTTTGTAGAAAGCAGTAAGATTATGCAGTTAATCTCCTCTGGTCTCTCCAAACTCTACATGGACTTGCTAGAAATTTTGAAAAAAAGGGGGGAAAATCCTGTATGCAATTTTATTAGAATAAATTAATTGATAAAAACACATAGAATACAAATTTGTAATTCACTGACAATTTTATATGCAATAATTCCACAGCCTTCCTCCCCACCATCCCTTAATGTGCATACACCAACATACACACAGTACTATATTTTGAATTAAGCCTTAATAGCTGAGTGTGGTGGCTCAAGCCTATAATCCTAAGTACTCTGGGAGGCCAAGATGGGTGGACTACTTGAGCCCAAGAGTTTGAGACCAGCCTGAGCAAGAGTGAGATGGCATCTCTACTAAAAATAGAAAAAACTGGCTCGGCGCCTGTGGCTCAAGCGGCTAAGGCACCAGCCACATACACCTAAGGTGGCGGGTTCGAATCCCCAGCCCGGGCCTGCCAAACAACAATGATGGCTGCAACCAAAAAATGGCCAGGCTTTGTGGCGGGCGCCTGTAGTCCCAGCTACTTGGGAGGCAGAGGCAGGAGATTCGCTTGAGCCCAGGAGTTGGAGGTTGCTCTGAGCTGTGAAGCCATGGCACTTTACCCAGGGGGATAGCTTGGGGCTCTGTCTAAAAAAAAAAAAAAAAAACTAGCCAGGTATGGTAGCAGGCATCTGTAGTCCCAGCTATTAAGGAGGCTGAGGCAGAAGAATCACTTGAACCAACCTCAAACTCTTGGTTGCTGAGTTTGCTGTCAACTATGATGACATTATGGCACTCAACTCAGGGCAACAAAGTAAGATTCTATCTCCTCCTAAAAAGAGAATTAAGCCTTAATTGTAGAGTTACAGAATAAAAATTAGGTGTGCATGGTAGCTCAGACCTGTAATCCAAGCTAAGGATTGACCTCAGAAGGCTGACACTGGAAGATGATTTGAGGCTAGGAGTTTGGGACCAGCCTAGGCAACACAGTGAGATTCCACTGACCCTACTTCCCCATCCCAACTCTAAAAAAATTAGGTGGATGTGGTGGTGTGTGCCTGTGGTTCCAGCTACTCAGGAGGATGAGGCAAGAGGACCTTGAACCCAGGAGTTTGGGGTGCAGTGAGCTATAACTGCACTACTGTATGCCAGCCTGGGTGACAGAAATTCTGACTTGTAAAAGAAAGAGAGAGAGGGAGAGAGAGAATAAAAGTTATAGTAGCATTAATTTAACCTCTCATGGATGTAGATACATATCAAAGATTCCACTTTTCCTTTAAATATGCTGTACGTAATACAGCATATTTTTATGAAAAATTCACTAATACCATTTCTTTAAACATAAGAATACTTATTGATAAATGCTTATTAAAAATAAATAATTAAAAAGAAAACCAAACCAGGGAATGAAACTACTTTCTTTAGTAAGAACCAAGCTTCCTCATACAACTTGACAGGTACGATGAATGCAAACCATGAGCATGGGCTAGATGTCTCCACACTGACAGGTAAAGAAGTCAAAGGACATGCTCACTTGAACACCAGATAGCTCTATTTCACGTTCTTTTCAAAAGCAAACTGATCTATCACATTCAGAAAATTTTGTGATACTGTTATTTCCCCTTTATAAATGGGTACCTTTTAGCAGCAGATGAAAGAGTTTCTTTTCTTGCAATTGAGACAGAGGTGCTGTGACTTGGTTTTCTGTTTGCACCACTTCCATTGGTTATACAGGACAAGGAAATAGCTTCTCGAAGGCTTGGCTGGCCTAAAGATAGTTAAGCAAAGAAGTTTTAGATAGCAAACTTGAAAATATTCCTTAATGTAGAGGTCTCTCAGGGGTTGTTAATTTAGTGGTCATTTTAGCGTAAGAGCACTCTCCACAGCAATTCATACCTTGCCAATCTGATAAATGTAATTTACTTCTCAACATTTACAACAAATCTATGACAATCCCTATCTCCTCTCAAATGTTATGTGGTGTAGGAGCCAAATGATACACATTGGTGCAGCACCCCAGATTTTATAAAATTAAGAATGTTTCTTTTGGAGAGCTGACTCTTACATTTCAGTTTTGCTTCTGGGTTCTTTTACTTCTCAAATGGCAACTGCAATGCTTCATACTTTGGTTTAACCAGCAGTTTCCCAGTGATTGCCACCTTCAGATGAATTTGACTTTTTTACTCCTATATCATTGTGTACTAACAGCTTGTCTTCACATAATGCCACTGGGCTGTATTCTCAAATTACATTCACTTGGTCACCCCAAGAAGTCCTAATGGGTTTCCCAGGCACCAGCTGTGACATAATTTGTCTTCCTGGCAGTTACAATTGCCAAAGTGTTCCCTAGGCTTTCCCTTTTGCTCCAAAGTACAGGTAACTTTTTTTCTTTTGGCAAGGATTCAGCTGCAACTGGTGCATATATTACAAATATAATGCTGTCAAAAGGAAAGAATTCTCTGACAGAGCAGAAGGTGTACGGGAAATTTAAATGTCTGGCCACCCTAAAAAAACTAATGGGAAAATTTTCTATCTCATTTAACTGACATACTGCAGATAATAACTAAAGATAAACTACAAGAAGAGAGCTGAAATGACTAGGTAGGTGTATTTCTGATTTTGGTATTTACTGAATGGCAATACCACTATGAAGTGACATTGCAGAATTAAGTCCTTAACACATATCATTAACATCTAGTTTAACCATACCCAAAGACAAGTGATATCTCCTCATATCACTACCACCTAGCAAAACTATATAATAGTTGTCTTCAGCAAAAGGTAAGTTGACCTAACCTTTTACACACAGCTTCATTTAAAAGAGTTCTATCCTACTTATCCACAGTGGACTGGTCCTCACTTTTGAAGAAAAATCCTCTACAAAAATGTAAATACTTTAAGATGACAGAGGTCATTGTCCTGTCACTAATTCATGTGAAAGTGACACTATAAATTCTAATTTCACAGGCTAAAAAAAATTCATGAAATATAACTGTCCACAGTATTAGAAATGATTTTACTTTTTAAGTCTAGGAAGAAGAAAAAATATCTCTATAAAACATATCTCTACAAAATAATTTTATGTGTAAGAAGCTTTTTTTTTTTTTTTTAAAGAGTTTCACTTTATTGCCCTCGGTAGAGCGCTGTGGTATCATACGGCTCACAGCAACCTCCAACTCCTAGGCTTAGGTGATTCTCTTGCCTCAGCCTCTCGAGTAGCTGGGACGATAGGCGCCCACCACAATGCCTGGCTATTTTTTTGTTGCAGTTTGGCGGGGGTGGGTTTAAACTGCCACCCTCAGTATATGGGGCCGGCGCCCTCACCCATTGAGCCATAGGCACTGCCCATTTTAAGAAGCATTTTATGAAAGACTTCACTTATTTGGAAAGACTTTAATGTGTTTATCCCAAATTTTCATGCCATTAATATGCTCATCTTATTTAATATTATAACAATAGTTAATCTATTTTAGGCTATCACAAATATCAATAATCCAGAATCACTTAATATTTTTTCTAATTACTTTCCACAATATACTGTATATAAACTCTAAGATAAAGCTGTTTAGAGTTGCCAATAACAAAATTATGATACTTTAAATACTTACTTCTCTTGATATTTTATTATCAGTCTTAGAAAATATAATTGGGCAAGTTTTTCTAATAAACAGATATAGAGTAATTAATTCTTAATAATGAACTATGCTAAGTGAGGTGAACGATATGTTAACTAGTTTGATGTAAACATTCCAAATTGTACATAAAATCAGCACATTGTACCCCATAAATGCAGTAATGTACATAGTTATGATCTAATAAAAAAATAATGAACTATGCTCATCCATAAGATAATTATTTCCCCAGATGATATGATCAACCCATTTTATAGACTGTCACCGGCTATGTCCAAGTAACAAAGTAACTAAAAATGGAATACTACTCAGCCAAAAAGAAGAATGAAATAGTAGCTTTTGCAACAATTCCAATAAGAACTAAAGTCGTCAACCTAAGTGTGGTATCTGAGGAATGGAAAAACAAATACTGCTATGTACTCACTTATACCTTGGAGCTAAACAATAGGCATACACAGATATAGAGAATGGTATAGTAATGGACATTAGAGGCTCAGAACGGAGGAGGGTGGGAGTGGGGTGAAGGACCAAAACCTATATATCAGGTACAATGTACACTACTTGGGTGATGAGTACACTAAAGAAAAGCCTTGATTTCACCACTATACAATTCATACATGTAACAAAAAAAAAATCACTTATACACTCTAAATCTATTGAAGTAAAAAAAAAAAAGTAACCAAAAGAATAATCAGTAGTAGACCCCATTTCAGAATATAAGATATTAGCATGTTATAAGATTAGCAGTCAAAGTAAACTTATGAAGTAGAATTTTACAATAAATTGAAAGAAACTTAGGATTTACAAGGTTAATTTATAAGGTTATTATGTGAAAAGAAAAAGTTCTGACGTGTAAGCTCCAGTGGCTTTGTGGCGCTAGGAGTGGGTAATTCTGCACTAAACAGCCATTAAGAAAACTGATTCTTTTGGAGACAAAGGAATTATGAATACGGACAAATAGGAAGGGACTAGAGAGAACAACTTATATTAAAAAAAAAAGATCCTAGAGAACAGGCACTATAGCTGTTAATTGTATTTATATTTCAGTACAATTAGAAGTAGGTGCTAAGTAACTGATATGTCCCGTCTGCCAAATTTAAAAAAAAAAAAGCAGTCTTTAAATTTCCCTTAAATATTTGTTTTCCTTACAGAAATCTCTCAATAAATAAAAAATGCAAAAGAATAGTCTTTAAATTTTTTCACTTAAAACAAGATTACAATGTATTGCTATTTAGCATAATAAAAAAATTTAATGTTTTTAAAGATTAAATTCTCTCATAAAAATCAATTTATAACCAAGTAAATTTTTTCCTGGCTTGATCTTATAAAGTCCTCAAAGTTGGTTCTCAAAAAAATAAGAAAAATAAAATAAAATAAGAAAACCACAATATAACATTATTGGCCAAAGTGGTTTCTATCAAGTCTTTTGCCAAACTCTCAAGTCTCTTATTCCCTTTCATCAACCCATTTATCTTACTACCACTAATGAAAAAGATCAATCTTGCCTTCTAACTCTCCACTGTCAACACACAGGCCCAGAGTGCTTCAAGGTGGGAGGTAAAAGAGTAGAAATCATAAAACCAGGAAGAATGATACCCCCCTAAAAAAGTTTTCTACCTCCATGCTTTCAGAGTCAGCATTTTTTTCACATACTTACAGTCTTCCATTCTCCACTCTAGTCCAAACAGTCTTTCCCATTTTTCTACCACTCAGAATCTGTTGTGCTCTTTCTCTCTTTTTTATTTTTATTTTTTTATTTTTTTTTTTAGAGATGGAGTCTCACTTTGTTGCCCTCATAGGAACCTCCAACTCCTGGGCTTGGGTGGTTCTCTTGCCTCAGCCTCCCGAGTAGCTGGGACTACTGTCTCTTTTTCTTTTTAAGAGATGGAGTCTTGTTCTTGCTCAGGCTAGTCTCAAACTCATGAGTTTAAGCAATCCACCCAGCTTGGCCTTCCAGAGTGCTAGTATTACAGGTGTGAGCCACCACGCCCGGCCTCTGTCTTGGTAAGGATTGAAAATTCATGTCTTGGCTTGCAGTGCCCATAGCTCAGAGGTTAGGGCACCGGCTGCAGCTGGCGGGTTCCAACCTGGCCCAGGCCTGCCAAACAACGATAACTCCAACAAAAAAATAGCCAGGCATTGTGGCAGGTGCCTGTAGTCTCAGCTACTTGAGAGGCTGAGGCAAGAGAATCACTTAAGCTCAAGAGTAAGAGGCTGCTGTGAGCTGTGATGTCACAGCACTCTATCAAGGACATCATAGTGAGACTCTGTCTCAAAAAAAGAAAAGAAAATCTGTGTCTTGCACCTGTGAATATATGTTGACTTCTGCTCAGTTTTATCTTTCCATTCTCTCAGAAGCAATCCTTCTGCTTATATTTTTGTATTATTTTAATTTTGATTAATATTAGGGTACATGTAATTAGGTTAGATCGTTTCCATTTGAAAGGTAAAGTCTGAGTTGTAGTTGAGTCTACTTCTTTTTGTTTAAAACTAATAGTTTCTCACCTGCTCTAAGATCTCCTTTTAAACTCTCGGAAAATTTGCTTCATCAATTACCACCCTGCTTCCCTATGTCATCTTTCCCTTTGTTGCCTTTTTTTTTTTTTTTTGAGACAGAGCCTCAAGCTGTCCCCCTGGGTAGAGTGCCGTGGCATTATAGCTCACAGCAACCTCCAACTCCTGGGCTCAAGCGAGTCTCCTGCCTCCGCCTCCCAAGTAGCTGAGACCACAGGCGCCCACCACAACCTGGCTATTTTTTGGTTGCAGCCATCATTGTTGTTTGGCGGGCCCAGGCTGGATTCGAACCCTCCACCTTAGGTGTACGTGGCTGGCGCCTTAGCCGGTTGAGCTATAGGTGCCGAGCCTCTGTTGCCTTTTTGTCCTCAATGTATCTTTGAATTTAAGCCTACAACATGTTAAAAAAAAAAAAAAATAGAAATTTAAGAAAGAAAAATTAGACTAGCCTGAAAAAGGACTGCTTGAGCCCAAGAGTTTGAGGTTGCTGTGAGCCATCATGCCAGAGCACTGTAACCAGGGGATAGAGTCAGACTCTTTCTCCCAAAAAAGAAAAAAAAATAAAACAAAAAGCCTTCAATTTTGCATCCTTTTCTATCTACTGCCATTGTTCCCCTCAGGCAATTTTTTTGAAGGAGTGGCTATAATGTGCTGCTCTCAATTCCACAATTCTTCTCAATTGCTGCTTCTCAAAATACTAAAATTTGATTTAAAATCCTGTCACTCCACTAAAATTGTTTTTGGAAACGTTTCTAATATTCTCATAAGTGCTAAAGCCAATGGTCACCTCTCAATCTTTGTTTTATTTAACCTCTATAGCAGCTGGCAATATGAATCACTCTTTGCTATGCTGAAATGTTGGCGCTCCCCATGGAACTATCCTGGTCCGCCTTCTCATTTTACATCCTCTTTCTTTGGCTTCAGCCGTATCCATAAGCTGAACATTCCCAAGTTCTGACTGCTAGCCAAGACTAACGTAAGCATTATACCTGTAATTCAGCTATATATAGTATCTATCGCATATACCATATATGCCCCAAACTCAACATTCAGAAACTGAATTCATAATCCTTCTTCTAAAGCTGTTTCTCCTATGCTAGTTAACTGTACTATCTTCTATCTAGCTACAACGTGGAAGTTACGTAAGACTCCTCCCTAGGGCAACAATTTCCATTAACTTAGTAGGGGGGAAGCCAATAAACATCCTTACTTTTCCACTGTCAAAATGGGGATAATCATGCCTATCATCACCTACTTTACCAAGAAAACAGTAAAATATATGAAATAATATATTCAAATGTTTGATTTTAAATTCTTGTTGAATTTTAAATTCTTTCTTAGTGGTTGAAGGAAGGGAAAGCCATACTATATCTCCTCCAAATACAGAACAACAGAATCCCGGTGACTACTTCTCTCAACCTTTAAAACTCCCAATGTCTGAACATTAAAATTCTCATTGTACTTGGGCTGGCAATAAGTTTCAGAACTTAATTTTTTTAGGATTCTAGTAATGAACACAGAAGATTGAGAATGAAGCAATTTAAACTATAATTATGTGGGCGGCTCCTGTGGCTCAGTGAGTATGGCAGCATCCCCCTATATAGAGAGTTCAAACCAGGCCCCAGCCAAACTGCAACAATAACAAAAAAACTATAATTATTTCTTATATTTCTGTAATTATAGGCTTGATTTAAAAACATGAGTGCCTACCTGCTATGTTCAAAACAGAATGGGAGGGCGGCACCTCTGGCTCAAAGGAGTAGGGCGCCAGCCCCATATGCCAGAGGTGGCGGGTTCAAACCCAGCCTCGACCAAAAAAAAAAAAACACAGAATGGGAAACACAAAAAGAAGATTCATAAATGTATTATCTATTTAGAAGATACTAATGTCACACATATACTACAACATAAAAACCTGTAAGAATAATCAGTGATATTATACAAAAATTACCAATTTAAAATAATTGAGAATAAACTTTTATATTTTCTCAGGAATAAAGAAAAAGAAAATGAAAAACAAACTTTAATAATATGTAATCCAAATGAGAAACTAGTTTTATTTTCAATTTTCAAAGGAAATATTGCAAAAAGCAAGATTCTTCCTACTTTACAACACATTTAATTACCTTTATTTGGGACTGGTTTTTTCACTGAGGCCACATGATCTTCAGAGATAGCAAGACGCCTCAAAACATCAGCCAAAGCTGCCTTCAGCACAGTGATTTCATCTTCCTGTTGCTGAACTCGTAACTCAAGAGCTGAGAGCCGATCTTGAACATCAGAAGTACTTGCAGCAGAAATACTATCATCTATAAAATAAAGAACATATAGAATATTTTTAAAAGAATTAAAAATTCCTTTGAATATTAAATATTAATTATATTAATTAATGTAATATTAATTCAATATTCCCACTGAGGGGATATTTGGATTTTAACATTAAGAGCTGTTTGGACTAGAGTGAGATAATTTAAACTGGGTCAGTCCTTCAGAGAATAAGGTATAGT